CGAACGGGACTCGGGCCCAGGTGGGGCGGGAGTGCGGGGGCAGCGCGGGGGCGGGGGTGGCGCGCGGACCGGGAAAGGCCGGGGACGCTGCAGCTTCGCTTGGCGCGCTTGGCGGCGGCGGCTGGCTCTTTCCCACTCCGGCTGCGAACCAGACAGCCAGGGCAGCCGCCCGGAAACCCTACCGCTTCTTCCAGCGACTGGAGAGGCTCACGGCGGCCACTGCTTCGGCGCCCCGCGCAGCGCATGGTGAGCGCCCCGTGGGGTCGGGGTCTTTTGGCAGAAGGTCCCGGCGCACCCCTTAGGGTGCTCGATGGGGCCGCCCAGGCGACGCTGGGCTGAAGTTGGTTCCGCGCACATCCTGCCTCTGCCTCTGAGCTGGTCATGCTGCCGCCCAGGCGCAATGGCACCGCGCACCCTCTTGGGTTCAGATTTCGGGCTCGGCTGGCGAAGGAGGGCTCCGCGGGGGGCGCGGCGGGGGCGGCGCCACTGGGGCCAGCGCAGGTGGTCACCGCCTGCCTCCTGACGCTGCTCATCGTGTGGACGCTGCTGGGCAACGTGCTGGTGTGCGCTGCCATCGTGCGCAGCCGTCACCTGCGGGCCAAGATGACCAACGTCTTCATCGTGTCCCTGGCTTTGTCCGACCTGTTCGTGGCGCTGCTCGTCATGCCCTGGAAGGCGGTGGCCGAGGTGGCCGGTTACTGGCCCTTCGGGGCGTTCTGCGACATCTGGGTGGCCTTCGACATCATGTGTTCTACCGCCTCCATCCTGAACCTGTGCGTCATCAGCGTGGACCGCTACTGGGCCATCTCCAGACCCTTCCGGTACCAGCGCAAGATGACCCAGCGCGTGGCCTTGGTCATGGTGGGCCTGGCCTGGGCCCTATCCATCCTCATCTCCTTCATTCCAGTCCAGCTGAACTGGCACCGGGGTGTGGTGGGCTCCGAGAGTGGGGTGGACCTTCCCTCCAACCTGGCCAATGGGACGGCCGGGGAGGACACTGGGGAGCCCGAGCAGAGGGCAGCGAACTGTGACTCCAGCCTGAACCGGGCATATGCCATCTCCTCCTCGATTATCAGCTTCTACATCCCTGTGGCCATCATGATCGTGACGTACACGCGCATCTACCGCATCGCGCAGGTACAGATCCGCAGGATCTCGTCGCTGGAAAGGGCAGCGGAGCACGTGCAGAGCTGCCGGAGCCGCGGGGGTTGCGAGCCCGACGCCAGCCTGCGCGTGTCCATCAAGAAGGAGACCAAGGTGCTCAAGACGCTGTCGGTGATCATGGGGGTCTTCGTGTGCTGCTGGCTGCCTTTCTTCATCCTGAACTGCATGGTTCCGTTCTGCCACGGAGACCCCGAGGACCCGAGGGCCGGCTTCCCCTGTGTGGGCGAGACCACTTTTGATGTCTTTGTCTGGTTTGGCTGGACCAACTCCTCACTCAACCCCATTATCTACGCTTTCAACGCTGACTTCCGGAAGGTGTTTGCCCAGCTGCTGGGCTGCAGCCACCTCTGCTTGCGCACCCCGGTGGAGACCGTGAACATCAGCAACGAGCTCGTCTCCTACAACCAGGACACCGTCTTCCACAAGGAGATCGCGGCCACCTATGTCCACATGATCCCCAACGCCGTAGCCCCTAGGGACAGGGAGCTGGAGGATGAGGAGGAGGAGGAGGGCCCTTTCCATGGAATGTCCCAGATCTGCCCCACGTTGCCAGAGGGCGACCCTGCAGCTGAATCTGTCTGGGAGCTGGATTGTGAGGGGGAGATTTCATCAGGCAAAATAACACCTCTTACCCCTAACGAATTTCATTAAACCACGTAAGAAAAGCCCTTGAGGTTCTGCGTAAGTGCATAGACATTTATAACTACACACACACGCGCGCGCACGCACACACACATTCCTCCAGTGTTGCTTTTATAACTACACATGCGCGCGCACACACACACACACACACACACTCCTTCAGTGCTGCTCTTATAACTACACACATACACACACATGCAGACACAAACACACACACGCACACTCCTCCAGTGCTGCTCAATTTATCAGTGTTGCTATCTCCGTGAACTCGCCCATGTGCTAGGCGTCATCACCCAGGTGAAAGAACCAGCAGAGGCAGTTAGAATCCACTCATGTATTCCCTGCCTTCCAGCCTGGCAGAGATGTCCGGTGGCCTGCTAGAGAAGAGGAAGCAGGGCCTTAGAGGTGACACTGTCCCTTCCCCTTTCAAACAGTAGGCTTGTTCAGTGACTTGTTTGTGTTTGGACTGATTTTTAAAAATTTCTATTTTACAGAGTACAAAATAGTATGAAAACAGCAAAATTACAAATGATACCGAATTTCACTAAACAAAGTAATATGAATCTCACAGTATTTGTTGTACTGCATAGTGCTGATTTTTAAACAGCAGGCTCAGTGCATTTGCATGGAGGCTGAGTGGGGTGTGGCGCTCTTCCCTGCTCTGCTGGTTCTCCTCCTCCTAGCCCTGGAATCCTCCCGACTGGTTCTGGCATCAGATAAACCCAGCATGTGTGCATGGTGGGGCGGTTATCTTTGCCTTGCAAGGTGGGTTTTCAGAATTCCTCCTGGAGAGGCCACTGGTGCGTGCTCAAAAGCAGGGCAGATGTTCCTTTATTTTCCTTTCAGGCAGTTTGTCCTTAAAGGAACATACTAGGGCTTAAAGAGTGCCTGGTTTCTGCAATTTCCTTTCGTTAGATGCGTACGTCTCCAGTGCACATGGAATGCCCAGTTCCTGGCCCCGGCAGGCAACGTGCACTGCCCATGCCTGGAATTCTAATGTTTTTTTCCCTTGGGAACTTCTTTTTCATGTAGGACTCTTCTGCAGATTCCTGGGCAGATGCTGGCTGCTGATTGAAAAGGTCACCTCCAGTGACAGTGATCTTTCTCTAGTTCAAATCTAGAGCACTGCGACATGACCTGGGTTTAGGTTAGCATGTTTTCTGAAGAGCTTTGATGTGTGTGAGTCAATATGTTTCTAAAAAGAAATCTCGTTTTCAAATAAGCATTTTTAGTTGTACACAATAGCAACTAGGGGGGAGCACTGTACCCAAAGTGTAGAAGCCAGAAAAGACGTTTGAACGAGCCAGCAAGGGGACGATCTACAGGTGAGCTGCTTGCAGAAGGGCCCCCTCCGATCCTTCCCTCTCAGCGGTGAGCCTGGCGTGGCACACTTTATCCCAGTATTATTTCAGCTGAGAACATATTGCCGTGAGAATTAAGTGCCAGACCTGTTAATGAAAGCAAATGCAATGTGAATCTTCAATTTCTTACACATCTCTGCTCTCTGAAAATGTCATATCAAGGACAGTTCAATCAATTTGGTCTTTTTAGGAATAATTTTATTGTTAGTCTTCTGTACAACTCTGTCTTGTTCGCCATAAATGTGTAGTGCTCGGCACATAATGCTTAATAAATATTTGTTGAATGAATAACTGTTTTTAGAACAGTGAGATTGAAAGCAAATTCTGTTTGGTGTGGGAGTTTTCATGTGTGATTTTGCCAAAGCACTTCTGGAATCTGAGGTCTGTGTGCAGCTGTTGACTTGTACTCCCACAACTAAGTGAAGTTAAGACAATATTAAGCAGTGGGGCTGAGAGGCTGTGTGACCTCATGTGACCTGCTAGCCTTGCTGGCTGTCACTTTTCATCTGCCTTTGTAAGCTGAGGTTTTCTGAAGCATCGTGAACCCCAGCAAGGAGATTTTATTTCTCAAAGTCTCTGAGCTGCAATTCCTCATTTAATAGAATTCCCGTCACTTTTTCTCTGAAGGCCTCAGATACTGGGACATAGTTTGAGAAACTGGATTGTGTAGTTGTTTTATTCTGAAGATCAGCTTGTTACAAGCAACATCATTGTGGGGGCAAATGTCTTTTTAGTTTAAAAGCATTGGGTTGTGGAAAACGACTATGTGAAAACTTCGGAATCTGCTTCTGTAAAATATCGTTCATCGTGTATTTTAATTATTTCCACCTCCTGTTCACTTGCCACTGTCCCAGTTGCTGGGCGGATCCTTATCCATTGGGCTCTTTGCTGCACTGGAGCCTGTTTGGGGGGAGGGGAGATAAGCAACAAATGCTCCCCCTGGGTGCTGACCTGTGCGGAATCTACTACAGTGATGTGGTTTATAAGGTCAACTGGGATTATTGCTGGGAGGCTCCCTAAAACAGAGCAGAGCAGGGGTGAAGCTGTAGTTTTGTTTAGGGTAGTGAGGGGAGCCCTCTGAGAAGAGGCACAGGAAGAAAGACCCTGCCGCAGCAAAGGCTGGAGCAATGGCGCATCATGGAGGGGGAGTGGACCAGACAGAAGCAGATGCAGGGAGAAGCCTAGAGATGGGGCAGTGCTTTGCACACCCAGGGAGGAGGGATGGGAAGGCTGAGTCCCTGAGGGACAGGGTCTAGGGTGGGGCTGATGCTAGTGGCAGTGGCAGCGGCACAGTGGTGCTGTGGCCACAAGGCCACAGCAAGGACTTCTCTGGAACAGTGTCCAACAGATGCATTAAGACTTGTGATCCTGCCAACCCCAAGAAGCAGGCCTTTTTTTTTTTTTTTAAAGAGGTGTTTTAGTACAGGGTCTACAGGGTCTCACTACACAAATCAGATTTGTACTGATCTTTCCTGTTTTTCAGCCTCCCAAGAGCTGGGATTACAGGTGGGCGCCACCACGCCCAGTCTCATTCGCTATCTTGGCATGCTTCAGGGGTGGGGCCAGCACTGCACGCTGGGGATCGAACCCCCGGCCCCAGCGTCTGCCTAAACAGGTGCGTTAACCAGCTGCGCTATTTGGCCAGCCTTTACGCAGGCCTTTTATCACCCCATTTTGGAGATGAGGACAGGAAGTCATCAGCAAGCTAAATGTCTAGCCATGCTCACACCGCTCCGGGGTGCCAGAGCTGGACTTGACACAGGCAGCCCCTCCGTGGATTCTTGGGTCCTAACTGCTGCGGGTGATGAGAGTCTGCCAGGGCCTCTCTTCCTAGTCGGCAGATGCACCCCCGTGTGGGTCGGGGTCCTGGGTTCTTCACACACCGTTAGCTGACTGACTAGCTGATCCCCTCCTATGTCCACGCTATGGACCTGCACTGTGTACCTGCTCCGGGCCTGGAGAGAAGGCAGCCCGGGGTCCTGGCAGGGTCCCCATAGATCAGGGCTGTGGGTTGCGTGGATGGGCCATGCGCTGTCCTGGCTTCTTATTTGACCTTTACACAAACCTCACGTACTATTGTTTTTCCACTTTTGCAGAGGGGACACTGAGGCACAGGAAGATTAAGTTATTGCCCAAAGTCATATGACAAGCATCTGGCAGAGCCAGGGTTTATGTTTAAGCCAGGGGTTCTCAGCTGAAGGCAATTCTCCCCCTCATCCCTGGTGACATTCCTCACCCCTGGAAGATGTTTTGATTGTCACAATTGGGAGAGGGGTGCTCCTGCCATCTCATGGGGCCAGGAATTCTGCTAAACATTCAGCTGCGGATGTCCAAGCACAGATCTGACCCCGGCAGGGGGACTCGAGTCCCCAGCTGCCTGCCTGGAAACCCTAGCTATTGGGGCTCTGGCCTGAAGTTTGCACTTCAGTGTCATCCTTTATTAGCTGACTGCATGGGGCATTTCTCTGAACTTTGGCTTCTCTCTCTGAGCAGTGGGTACAGTGACTGCACAGGTTGTATGTAGCACAGAAGGTATATGTGGGTCACCATTCCCCCTCTTTTAGAAAACTGTGCCTTTGTGCACTTTGTGAGAACTCGGAGGTGTCTGGCTAGGGCAGAATCCATGGTCCCAGCAGCGAAGGGCCCCAGGAGGGGAGAGCTATGACCTGCCTGGTCCTGCCCGCACCGTCTCATCAGCCAAGAGCAGTGTGCAGTGCAGAGCAGGTGTTCAGAAAGTGTTCATCATCCCCTCTACCAAGTCCCAGATCCCATGAGCCGGAGCGAGCACCTCAGTGGTTTGCACGGTCAGTGCCGTCAGACATGCGATGTGTCTCAGCTACTTTTTTCGTTATAGAGGCAAATGCATCCACAGTAAAGGAGGCCAGGTTTCTTTCAGCTCAGTTTGTAGAGGTTTTAGTCTCCTGGATCCAAGGCAGGGCAGTATGGCACGAGGGAATTGCAGAGGTGAAATGGCCCGTGGCAGGGCAGGCAGGAAGCAACAGCTGCCTCCCTTTCCCTTTTATCCCAGACAGGCTCCAACCCTTTGAGTGGTGCCACCCACACCAGGGTGGGGCTTCCACGCACCTACAGCTGTGCTGAGCCAGTTAGTGGAGTAATCCAGCTCCACACACTCTTCATCCCAGAATTACCCATTCGGACACCTTGGATCCACTACCTCTGAAAAGCCCCGCCTGTGACTGAGTGAGGCTTGGAGAGGCATCCAGACAGCGTGCTGGGGCGCCCTTCCACGTGGGGCTGGGCTGGTCTGACTGGTCTGAGCTGCGGGGAAGAAGCTCCACGAGCAGGAGGAGCTTTCTCTGCAGAGCACGTCTGCAATGCTATTTGAAACGAGGGTGCACTTTGGCGAGTTCCCTAGATGCTCCCACGTGCTGGTGATCTCAGCCAGTCTCTTCAGTAACGTGAGTTGAGGGCGTTTCCTCACATCACCTCAGCCAGGGTCACCACGCTGAATTTGAAGGTGATCTTTACTCCTGCACCCTATCCAACCGTAGTCCCACATGTGTGGCAACAGGAATGACCTTTCTCCTGCTTTGGAGAAGTTCCCAGGCCACTGGTGATGTGAGACACAGAAAAAGTACTGTGCTGTGGAAGCACAGGGGTCCACAGGCATTTTCACCCAGATGAGGC